GTTAGCAAATGAATGAATACGAGCGTCAGGAACGGTCGTCCATTTGTGGGCGGGCGGGCGTGGCGGGCGTTTGGGACGTAAAGTTGTGGCTTGATAGGGCCCTTATAAGGGCACCTTCCTCGGGGAAACCGCTATGCAGCGCCTGCCCAGGGTCGCGGAATTCTATCCTGCCAGGAGTATTGATCCTAGTCGTCTTGGGGGATTTATCGTGCCAACTGCCTTTAAGGGGAAAGGCTCTGCCGCGTGGTCTTGTTCGAATAGCATCAACTCGGTCGCCTAGACATCTTTTCTCTTTTTAGCCTTTCACATGCCTTCGTATCAAAACGTGTAGCGAAGTTGATATTGGGTTGTTTGGGAGGGGAGCAATTAGCGCTGAAAGTGGCCATGTCATTCATCTTTTCGTCAGCGCTTCCCCATTGAAGTGTCGATGACTTTGATTGAGGCCTGTGATGGATACGAACAGCGGGAAGGTGTAACTTATTCCTCACCACTGCCACCTCTTCCCCAACTACCTTAGCGCCCAAAATGTCCCTACAGGCTCAAGTTGAAAGACGTACCTCCGGAGTGTAGACATAGGCACATTGGAATGCACCCGATATGAAGGCACGAGCGATAAATATCAGACAGGTGACGGTAAACCTGAAATCAAAACATACCGACGAAATATTGACTTGCATATTTTCTAAACAATACTTGAATTGCTCGTCACAAGTTCTAACAATCGAAAATTTCCTCCCATATCCATCCCACATCCGAGTGTCTGAGAAACTCTTCATTCCTACTCACACCTGCCTCATTTTCATGGGTACCAGTTGAGGGATCTACACTGCAGAAGCGAATAAATCAAGCCGTTGTCTAGTTAGTTGACTCAATGTACTGCAGTACTTCCACCTTAAATCACCTGGTGTCAGTGCCACGCACGTGACGCGGTTAAGTTAACACCGCGTTCGCTGCATGGCCGCAACGTGGACCTTTCTTCCGAGAACTTGCCTCAGGGCACATCGTTGTTGGGGAATCCCCAATAGGGGGGGTCGTATTTAGTCGCCAGAAGGGGGAGGAGGTCGTTATTGAGGTTGGGAAATATTTAGTCGCAGAAGGAGGGGAGGTTCGTATTGAGGTTGGAAAAGTTTATTGGTGATAGTTAATTATAGGTAATTTTTCTCGCCTTCATGGACGTTGTAAGGGGGGGCGAGGTGCGTACTTGGTCATTTTTTGGAGGCGGGGTCGATGGTACGTTTTGCTTGTGGGCAGTGGCGATTGACGTCTTGGTGATTGTCCTGCTTTCACGTGACCTATGTTGTCCCTTCCCCTCACGACTGCCAAAATTTTTGCGTTAAAGTAGGGAATTTCTGGGAAAATTTAGGAAAAAGGAGCCAGGAAGTTTGCTTTGCGGCGAAAATCTGATTGTAGAGTGGGGGGGGTCGTATTGTTTTGGCGTTTCCTGTCACATGTTGCTATGCCCACGCCTCGAAGGCTCGATTCGATGCAGGAAGGACAAGAGAGCTGGGGGGTCGTGCCAACTCCCAAAAAAAGGGGGGGGAGAGGTAGGTCTTATAGAGTCGACTAAAATCCCCAACGAATGATGTGCCCTGACTTGCCTCTCCATTAAGGAGCATGGCACTATTTGATCTCAATTGCAGCACTCATTGAATTTCTTCGGGTCAGGATTTTGGTTTTTCCGTGGTAAATCAAGCTGCGAATCTTTTACTCTGCAAGGTTCACCCCCCTGCTTCCCGCCCCCCCCGTGAACTCACGGGTATCATACCGCTTGGCCCGATAAACAACAAACTCAGAGAGCCGAATTTGCTTTAAAGTTGTTCCATGGCGTATTTGGAACTCCTGAACGCCCACTTGAATGCCTTGAAAGCGCGTTTTTGCATGCGCTATGGACGCATTTTGGGGCCAGAACTATCTGCGACGCTGGCGACCGTGGCGTGGTCGCCTGCTCGCAGATAGTTCTGGCCCCAGTTGATCCTCTTTCGAGACTGAACCTCTGGCCTACCCCAGAAGGAGCATTGCGGTCCAAGTATGGCCTGAATTTTGAAGAGTGGGGCAGTGAAATATGAATAGTCCACAAATATTTTGTAAAAGAAACATCGATGGTCCTGTAGCGAACGTGACAAACATGAGTTTGAAAACAATTTGAAAAGAAGTGTGAGGTAATAAAAACGAAAAGAACTATTAAATTACCTATCCAGACAAAAGAATAGAGAGTATGTGAAAACTGAGAACACCGCAAACTCCAGAGCCATCGTCTTCTTTCTACCCAACCATTCGATGATCACTACAGTGATTATTAGCCCTGAAAAAGACTAATACCAGTTAGTTGAAAATTTGCCTTCCCAGTAAATCTGTAAGAAGGAAGAAGAGAACAGAAAGATTTATCCAGCGTCTCATGCTATTAAATTACTAAAATGCAGTTCAGGGACGCGCGCGAAGCGTTCACCGCAAGCAAATTCCACGCTTATCGTATGGGCGGAGCAAGGCCTATTTCGTCGTTGACCTTACCCATTATCTTTAGCTTATCATAGCCATTGCTATCACATTATCTTTCCTCATTGACAAGTTCCTCACTCCCAAAAATTGTGGGCCACAGCACAAAAAATAGGGCGCTAGGCCCGGCTCCGCCCCTACTACTAGCGTGAAATATGTCAAAAACGATTCAATCCTGTCGATAAACGTACCAGGAAACTCGGCCATCGTTGTCGACAATAAATCGAAGTAGTCTTTCCGTGTAAGTGGTTGGCACGTTTCGAAGTGTGTGCCATTCGAGAACAGTCCACCATGACATTCGTCATGGGATTGGAAGAGTACAGTAGTGAACAGGACCATACCGTAGTACGAGAAGGCATTCACGGCCCAAATTAACCACAACAGCAGTGTAGTACGACGTAGATCTGGTGACAGCAGATCGATAATATCACCACGTTTCTCAGTCTGAAAAAAATGCAAAAATATGATCGAGAAAAACAGTACATTTCCTGTGAACAGGACACGCCGTACTTCGAGGATTCCATCAGTACGTCGTGTTTGCTGCAGCACGAGATTTTCCCGAGTTGTTGCCTTCCCCTCCCCCCCCTCCTAGTTGGCAGCACCGTAACACCACAGTGAAACCACTGATGTGATAGCTGACTCTGGAGAGGACCTTCTCCCCCCCCTCTCGCTCGACCACTCAACGCAGTTTTTGGAAGGAACCAGAAGATTTCTTGTGAAAATCGGGAAGACCGGCAAAGTGTTGGGCGACTAAGTAATGATAGTTAGGTGGAAAAGGGGTCGCAGTAGAAAGAGAAAATACTGTGGAGGGGTGGGGGGGTGTCGTATTTTGCAGAATTGCGCCTAACTGCAGGCTGAAACATTTAAAAAAACTATGAGTAGGTCGGACTGGAAACGCTCAGCTTGAGCGAAAAGCAGAGTGACATGTACCATGATGTACATCGTCATCCGGGCACTTGATTAGGGCTTCAAGGGTCGCGACGCGGTTGCGGCGCGTCACGACCGAGGCGATCAGCTGTTTCCGGCCTAATTTGGTCATTTTTCTCCCTAATTTTCAGTATTTTCTGTTTTTTTTCAAGGGTTGTATTGTTGTCTTTATGGAAGTGCATTGAGACGTGCAGTCTTTTTTGTTTCTGTAATAGAGTGCTTTTGCGATTTTTTTTTCAGGTTTTTCTTTAATTGTCTGCCTATCCTGTTATGCTGATTAAATTGACGAGCAAAAAAAAAAAACAAACAGAGGAATCTCAACTTATAATTACCTTAAGAAGACAAAGAACACCTAATACCGAGAAAAGAAGCCACAACAGTGCGAAATGGGGAGAAAATGGCCAAAATAGGCTGGAAACAGCTGATCGCCGCGCTCGTGACACGCCGCAGCCGCGTCGCGACCCTTGCCGCCCTAATCAAGTGCCCGGATGACGACTGTAATTCACGGCGATGTGGTAGACGTAGCTATTGCGTTATATTCTCAAGAATCACGGAGCACTTCAGTCTCAAATTCATCGGCAAAGTTGCCGTCGTATGATCGAAAAGGCACAGTGGCATGTATGTTAGCGCTTTCCGCTTGAAGGGGGCATTTTGAATATTACTTCCTTAGTTCCCTCTCGCTAGTAGATGTTAGGGAACAGGTTGAAGCACGCTAGAAACACTTTGAAAAGATGCAAACGGTACAACGTGAACCAATTTTTGTTCATCCAATTTGTGGGTTGTCAGATGGCGTGAATAAAGCCTCGCCGAGTAGCATTTGGTGTCCCCAACTGCGCCTGCATTCTTTATCCAATTCTTCATATACATAATTTGCGGCGTATGTCACGGCGATTACTCTTTCGCGTGTAAAACGCAACTTCTCATACTTAATCGTCAGAGAACGTAAAACCTATCTACTGATGCGGTGAAGTCAGAGGAGTATCAAAATTATTCCAAAAACAATCACCTTCTTGCTAAATAGAGTTAAATTGACTCACAGTTCGAGAATGACCGGCAACAAGCTTTCCCTCGGGAAGTTTTACGCGATTCTCTTTTGCAGCCTTTTGTAAGGTTGCCAAAGCTTTTTCTGGATGACCGGAAGCCATGTCATAACGGGCTGATTCGGGAAGCCACTAAAAGGGGCGATCAAGTGCAAGAATTCTAATTATGACGTCTTCCTTTTGAACAGCACACTCACAAAGGAAAGAATCCCAAACAATCCCAGTGGCAGTGATGAGAGCAGTACTAGAGCTCTCCAGCCCCATGTGGCCATGACGAGATATGCCAGGAGTGCTTCGAAAGCGGCCCCGATCGCCCAGAACGATTCGATGAGCACTACGCATTTCGCCCTTTGTTGCGTTGGCAAGAATTCCGCATACAATGTGACACTGAAAATAATTTATTTTGCAAGCATCAAAAATATACAATGGAACTGAGTAGAAGGAATTTTTCTACTAGGAGAAATAAACGCAAACTCTTCCGTCAGGGAAAAAGACAAAGGTCTAAGGGCAGAAAAAGCCGGCTCAAAGGTTTCCAGACGTAATGTCAAGGTATTGGTGCAGATGCCAGTGACGGGGGTGCACTTGCAACGCCCCCCTTCATCGCTCAGCCCCAACTTGGACCTCATCACCAAGGACCTTAAACAAAAACTGTTTCAGGGACAGCTAGCTTCTTGTCTCCGATTGATTACTGGCTGGGCTTTTGCTTATTCAAAACTCTCAGAACCCCAGATAAGGGTTTCTCCAGTTTTCGATCGCTCCCCTTCCCAATTATTCGTTGACTCTTCCATCCTTCTCTTTTATTTCGTTCAAGAAGAGATATGTCCCGTTTAGAGCAAGTATGGACTGCATGAGAGAAAAAACCGGTTTCACAGGCTCAGTCCCGCTCTCAATTAACCACCAGTCTTTTGTAGTGATCTTTCTATGCCTATTACAAGAGGCAGGAGAGCCTAGAGCTTTTCCCTCCAGTTGGCGGCGCCACAGAGCTACCATGAAAACTAGTATTTCTAAGAAGTCAATTCAGTAGTTGATTAGTAACCACTTCCTCCCCTCTCGCTGATGCCATTTGTAGAGAAATTGGAGAAATGGCTGACTGGTGGGAAAATGGAAGAATTTCCCAAGGACTGGGAGTTGTGAGAGTGGGATCGTATACGAAGAAGAGCCCCGGGGAGGGGAGCGGGGTTCCATTGACACCGCCCGTCTACCCGACACTATTTACCCTTTACTGCCCCAATTATCCGAAATCTAGCCAGTTTTCGATCGCTATTTTCCTTGTGGGCAGAATTGGCTAAAAATCTGTCCCCTGTGCTAATCTGTCCCCCGTGGTAATTTGACCTCGTGAACATGAATATCACTGCTTGGACCAAAACCCCGTGGCGCTCGCACCACAGGCGCCGGCGCCAAAATACCCCAAATCATTGGCGCCTGTGGCGCGGGCGCCAGGAAGTTTCGGGCTGAGCGAATGTGATATTCGTATTCAGGAGGTCAAACTACCCAGGAGACAACATTTGAGCCAAATCTGTCCAAGAAGAAAAAAGTCGGTCAAAGACTGGCTTGTATTTAGTACTCAAAACTGTTATAACATTCTCTCATTTTTACTGTACAATTCCTTCTCATTTTTATTGCATGAATTTTACACGTGAGCTTTTTCTACATGTTTTCTCTTTTTGTCCTATTTCTTGCTCCTTCCCCTGTGTAGTCTATGTCCATGTCTTCAACCCTGTCGTACTGACGAGCCTGGGGGGTTGGTAAGACTTCGATGATTCGTCTACGACACCGGGCGAAACGGATCATCTGTGCTGTGGAGTGTATTCCTTTCCCCAATGTTTGTTTTTCTTTGTTTCTAATTGGTTACGGATGGTTGGGCGTGAGAGCTTCATTTAGGGTAGGTTTTTATTGTTTCTTTTTTCATTCGTCGAGCTTATAAAGTTTTCACCTGTTGATGTTGCGTAAAATGATTAGTGTTTTGGTTCCTAGGTGAGTTTCTTTCTGTTTCTTTTTTCTTCGTTGTTTGAACTCGACTTGTGAGCTATAAATGTTTTGGAAGTTCAGACGATAGGAATTTCAAGGCGCTTGTATGAAACCTAAAAAGAAGTGAAACCTCCTTACCTCATATTCCAGATCCGCTTATGTATAGAAAGTCGTAAGTTATCAGTTAGTAGCCATTATTAAGAGAAAAGAAGGTCTCACAAGTTGGATTTCCTTATTTATCAAGCGAGCAGTCCATAATAGCGTTGGGGCGCGCTCTGCCACGTACCGACGATCGCGGCGATCGCCGAGGTCGCCGCGATCGCCGCTGCTGTCGCGAAGTATGAACGCTGCCTAGAGGATAAATAGTGAAATTCCTCCTGTTTTTGTTTCAAAGTTTATTCCCCTGCTTGCTGAAGTCATCTTGACTTCGGCTTCAATTAGTACACCAATTAGGCTTCAAATTTAGGTAGTGGTCAGTCCGCGCACCTCTTTAGATGGCAACGAT